ATTCTTTTGGTACAGGGGCCTGATTGCAAACGCTCAAATAGTTTGAGGGCTTATTTGCCTATTTTCTCTAAGATTAGCAAGTGGGATTTAATAAAATTGAATAATTCTAAGCTTTCAAACAGCTTTTCTAGAAAACAGTTTTCTATTTTTCTAAATTTAAGGCCATGTTTATAAAATATTTATAAGAGTTACATAGTATATCGTTGGAAATTAAATTATTAAAATCAAGAGCTCAATTCATCCATTCATGTAATTAATTCGGTAGAATGGATAAGAGTTGAGTGGATAAGAGTAACGCCTTCGTTTAGGTTGAAATGTGATGGTGATGGAAAATCGGCCTGGAAGACTTTGAGCGTTGCTTAAAATTAGGAAGTATCTATTGATTTCTAATATATGCATTGTTCTATTTTTACACAACATTTCTATAATATTCACATTTTTTGCTTACTAATTAGGGCTGCACAAGAATAACCTGAACCCGAATAACCCGCCCGACCCAACTCTACCCGACGCTATTTAATCTGGTATTTGATTTTAAAAAATATTCATGGGTTAAATATGTTTGAACCCGCACCTAATGGGTAGGGTTGCAGAATTAAAATCTCAAACCCGATAGTACCCGACCCGGCCGAAGTTCATTTTACTATTATTATGCTACAATGTTTTCTTGGATAATTTCAATTTAAGACCAATGTGCTCTATCTAGGACTTTATGATATTAGAATTATAATTAAACATTTACCATTTTGACTAGGTGATTATTATATATTTACGTTTCCTTCTAAATGAACTTCATTTACGAAAGGATACTATTATCTAAAGTTTTTGCTTATAAACTATAAAGGATACGAGTACTTGCATTTGTTTGTATGTTTTGGAAACAAGTTAGTCGAGTTTTAAATTGGTTACATTAATTTCCCACATGAAAGATGCAACCCGAAGTGATTTTTTCCAATACCCGACCCTACCCGACCCGTTCATGCATGGTTTACCAACTTATTTTACGTATCGTGGGTTGGTTTAATAGCTAACCCGAACAAATCGGGTAGGCCCAAAAAATATACCAAACCCGACCCAACCCGCCCGATGTGCATCCCTATTACTAATTGCGTCCCGTGCGAAGCACGGGTGAATATCTAGTATTTTATTTAATGATGTGATCCAAAATTATTTTGATCATTCTCTAAGAAGAAATTAAAAATGTTTTTCATTGTAATATGTACAAATCACGAGTATGTGTATGATGATGAGTATATGACTACAAAAAACCCATCTTTAAATATTTATTTAGTGTATTGACTAATGAAATTATCATTAACTCTGCCAATTACAACTGCTACAATTGAAAGGTGTTTTTTCGGGATGAACATTGTTAAGTAAAGTTTATGAAATAAGTTGAACGACTAGTTTTTGAATGATTTTCTCATTTGTTATGTGGAAAAAGATGTGTCGCGCTTGATATAATTAAAAATGTAATTGTGAACTTTTGAAAAGCGTTTTACAAAAATGAAAACTTGTGGAGAGCGGTTGTACTAAATATGTGCTACATTATGTTTTTATTTTTTAAATATAGGATAATTTCAACATCTTGAATTTTACTTTATTTACATGCTCTATTTTGACCACATTTTATTCGTTAGTATATTGATAATTTAAATTTTGGAAAATATCATTAAATTTCTCTCACTTTTATATTTTCAAAATCTAATACTACGTATTTGTTTTTATTTTTTGCTAATAAATAATGAAATATATTAACGGTCCATATTTTGCGTTGACAAACGTGAAATGGAAACATTGCAACAAAAAAGGAACACAGAAAGTACATGTTTATTATTTGAATTTTTCCCCATTTTTTCCTTAATTAGTGCCCCCAATAACTAAACATCCTAGATCCGCCCCTGCTCGACGCGATACTTCAAACTTAACCTTGCTTCACTTCTTAAATTGTCATTCGCACCAGGCTAGCTGCTCATCGCCACCCTCACCACTCACAACGATCTCTTATCATCGAGCACAACCTCTTCCTTTAGCTGCGAAGTGACGGTGGCTCCTAGGATGCATGGTCATTGTTGGCCGTTGCTACAAGAAGAAGAAGATCAGGAGATGACCAATTGAGTTGATTGATGATTTATGGTTCCGCTGCGCCGCATCGAAGGAAGGTCACTCGTTGATGCATCTCCTCTCGGACGGCTTCTAGCTGCGCCGTATCGGCGTTTCTAGACGCGCGCAGTTCTTCCCTGACGGCTTCTAGCTGCTCTTGGATCTCATTCACCAAGGAGTTAGAACTTTCGGCCATAATTGATTCTCTTATTGCAAGAATTTCGCACAAACGACGCCGATTGTTTATGCTAGAATTAAACAATAAAATTGAACTGGGAATCTAACAATACTGAATCAATAATGGACGAGTCGATATGAGAAATAAATTGGATAATAATAATATTAATAGATGATCTGAATAAAGAGCTTTGAATACAGAGTATTAGGTAGTATGAATGTGTGTTTGATCGTAAGAGCATATCCAATGCTACAATATGCATGGTGCACATGTGGCATGCGAGAGATAGACACAAAAAATTGATTTTATGACATTTCTCTCTCCGTCTTTTTACGGTCTTATGTGTTTTTCGGTAAGTTTTTCTCTATAATGTCAACCACAATGTCTACGTCTAGACATTGTGATTGACATTGTGAAAAAAAACTTACCAAAATAATATAAAATCCTTCAAATAAGGAGAGAGATATTTTATTCATTGTTTTTTGATTGGTTATCTTCCATACCACGCATGCATGCTTAACGTATTAGTATTGAAGATGCTCTAATTGATCGTGTGTTAGATGGGTGTTCCTCATTTAATCTAATTACGCCAGCCTGATCTGTGCCGACTAGCCGAAGGAATAGGGCATAGGGGCTTGTTGCTAGTTGCTCCCCAAGTTTAGAACTGAATTCTCTCGTTCGAATTTGATCTTATTGGGGCTGTTGAGCTTATTTTCAATATTTGGGTCAGGTCGCAGCCCACTATTAGTCAAATCTCGGGTCCAACAGATAACATGATAAGTTATATTAAAAGGAGTATATATAATATTTAAAAGATTGTGCATTAGTACGATATTACGCAAAAGCAAAAGTGCAAAACAAAAGATACAAATGAGCATGCATGAATTAGCAAACCTGCTAATTAATTATTGGTCTGTATATATTACGTAGTAATTCTTAGGGCCCGTTTGAAAGTTTACATGTTAAATCTTTGCACGTAAAATGATTGCATGCAGAATTTAGGAAATCAATCACTTTGTATGTAAAATAGATTGCATTGTTTGGTTAGATGTGTCATTTATTTTTAATTTGCATGCAAAGGCGTTGCGGTGCTTTATAAAAAGGATGCAAAGTATTTTACCACCCTCCCCTCATGTAAAATACTTTGAATGGTACAGTGCGAAATGTTTATAAAAAGTGCTCTACAGTTTACATTAAATAATCCAACCAAACAATGTAAACATTTTACATCCCTGCACTTTGCATGCGAAGTAATTATTTTACTGCATACCAAACGCCCCCTTAGCCCAAAACCTTATATAGTGTTTAATTGGGTTTTATAGCTTTCCGGTGTGAGACAAATGCTTTAACACGCCCTCTCAGCCCGAACCGGGCTGAACAATATCGGGATGTATAAACGGGCCAAACAAACCCTTAACAAGCTACCCTTAATCGATGGGTGCTAAACAAGCCGTCAAACCACAATCAGAATTGGCTCTGATACCATATTAAGACCCGAGGTTCCATCCTAAAAGGTCAACCCTGATAGGATGATTAGCCTAAAATCTTATATAGTGTTTAATTATTTTTTATAGCTTTCCGGTGTGGGACAAATGTTTTAACACTTACGTAGCTAGCTAGATATTTGACATACATGAAACTCCATATCTCTAATTGGACACACATACATGATACATATAGCCTATTTTTTTGAGTATAAATAGTATGTTTTTACAAAAAAAAAAACGGCCGTTATTTTTTTGAGTTTGAATAGTTATTCAAGCTGAATTCGAGCATAGTCATGTTCAGTTCGATCTGGACTCGAGCATATTGATAACTTATAAATTATAGAAACAAACTATATACTACCTCCGCCCACTTTTATTAAGACTAATTTGACTTTTCAAGTCAAAGATATTAAACTCTGAATGACTATATATTTATACAATAAAATTGATAATATGAAAATGAAATGGAAATGCTCTTTGTTAAAAAGTTTATCATAAAAGTATAAATTTAGTAAGTTTCACATTAATACATGAGTTAAAATGACGGATCAAAGTTTACCATATTTGACTAAAGAGTCAAAGATGGCTAAATAAAAAGTTTATATCTAAAATTTAAACGTTTTTAGTGTGATTTATAATTTTATTATTGATTATTAAAGATTTTAGTATTTATTGATATGAATTAAAATACTTCTATAAAAGTATAAACCTAATAAGTAAAAATAGTCTATGTACATAAAACTATTAAGTATTCCCAATTTTAAAATTGAATTGAGATTTTGAATCCATTCTTACATGCCTAAACAGTAAATACATCGTTCTCTATTCTTTAATTGCATAATAAATAAATCATTTTCTAATCTTTAATTCTATCTTTAATCATTATAAATTTATAATAAATAAAAACTATTTTACAATCTACTGAAAAAATTTAATTAATAATCAAATAGAATTACAAAGTTGGTAGGCTTGGGCTGGGCTAGACATTAATTTTGAGGTGGGCTGGAATTAAACCAATACCTATAATAATAAAAATAAATTGGGCTAGGCTGGGCTGGAGCCCACCCCTGCCCCAACATAGATCCGCCCATGATATAGGTATATGGAAATGCAGTCTCTAGCTATTAGATATACCAGTCTCTAATTATATCAAGCATATAATTAGTACAAAAGATCAATCCATGTTTATATGTTTATGTGTATATAAGGTGATAAAATGGAAATAGTGTATTACGGAGTATAAAAGTGGAAGATATATAGTGCGATGTAATTGCCAATCACCTAGTGGTTCGATGACATCACTGTAACACTTCAAGTAGGAAGTCACAAGTTGGGAACATAACCCAGTCAAGAATGTTGACATTTAAGATAATGGATATTATAGGAAAAGAGAAAGTGCAGGAAAAAAACAGTGCGACGTAGTTAAGATGGACTTCTATTGAGCGAGTAAGGAAGCAACAACTCCAACAAATGCGGCATTGATGTAGGTCGCTGGCTCAGATTGCTGATAGTTTTGCCTGTTATCCTCGTACTCATCACTCTCATCCGGACCACCCGTAATGGCTCCGACATGAATGTTCGGGTTCGCATCATTTGTTGTCAGGGCAGGACCATAGCAGCCCATGGACTTAGGATACTTCTTCACCGATACAATAGAAGCGCCCCTGTGGTGTATCTTGAGTGGATAGTTATCCCCGAACCCGACCATGTAGGACATTCCTTTCGGGTTATCCCCCAGAACGTAGTCCACCTGTTGCCTCACAAATTCAATGAGATCATTTGCCGAGTGGACACAAATAGGCATGGCAGGGTGTTGGGCCGACTTCAGCTGTTTTGCATAGGTTCCTAGGAGAAATGATGCTGTCAGGTATTGGAGATTGCTCCACTCGCCCAGGTAATATAGCCCACCTGCCATGGATTTATATATATACATATATATATATATACATACATGTAAATTAATTATATGGAATGCATTTATATATAGATCGAGGACCATATACGTTAGGGGCTTAGGGCGAAGATGGGCTTAGAGCAACTTAACTTTTTCCGATTCTTGTAAATTTTTTCATTTTTCATATTTAACTCATTCCGTTAATATTTAATTAAACATAGTATAATTATTTTTCAGTTAGAGTAATCCGGATTTCGGGATACGCTGCTAGACGTATATATGCATAGAGCCGGTGTACTACTCCTAGCCTTCTCATTTCAATCAGGGAGGTTTTTTTAGGAGGTTCGATGGGTTTTACAGAACAGGGACCCCTGATTTATGGGGCCCAATTTTCAAAAAAATTATTAGTACTATATAGTAATATTATACTCCCTCCGTAACATTCATATCTTCCCACTTTCCTTTTTTGGACGTAACATTTATATCTTCTCATTTCTAAATCTTCCCATCATATCCTCAATAATTTAAAAAATAATACACTACTACACCTACATTTTTTGGATTTATCCTTCATTCCATCACATTATTTCACCATCTTCCCATCATACCATCAATAATTCATACCCCATTTCACTATTCATAATCTCACCCACTTTGGAAGTGGGAAGATATATGTGATACGGAGGGAGTATATTAATATTAATCAATAACTTAACATACATTTAGTATGGAAGAAAATACAGATTCATTATTTTTTGTCGGTCATTTTAGTTATCTTTTAGTCAAATTACTTAAATAATGAGTTGTGCTGCTTTAAATCAAGTACTACGGATTAAGTAACTTCTAGAAAGTATTTAGTTGATTTGAGTACAAGTATTTAGATTTTTTTTATATTAATGTGAGGTCTCAATTTTACATTTGGAACCGGGACCTCCAAAATCCAAATTCATTAAATAGCCCTAATTTGAATTTCCATGTTTTTGGAAAAGATGAAACACAAAATAAATTGCTTACTTGATAACTCCGTAGTTAATAAATCTATAAAATGACCAAACATGTACCGTTTATGGAGTACGAGCCAGGGTCAGCAAGTCAGGGTCAAGGTGCCAGACAATTTTCCCAGGCCCGGGGCCCATGTCATAATTCTTGTAATAATTTATTATTTACAAAAATATTGAGGACATAATAAGAAAATTGGGAGATTAGAAGATTTTTTGGAACGAAAGGAAAGTTGGAAGATTTTGATTGATTTTGATTCTTACGGAGAAATTATGAGTTTGTGCAGCTCAACCTAATTTGGAAGAGATCGATCTGTTTAGAGTGTCATATATTGACTAGCCCCGCCTGATCAAATCGATCAAGCACAAATTTCTATGATTACACACATGAAAAATGCTTGAGATATATAAAATGTGTATACAAAATGTGTACACATGTCTATCCTTCACAGAAATTGTCTGTCACAGACAACTTATTTTGAATTGTCTGTGACAGACAAAATTTCTGTGAAAGACAGACATGTGAACATATTTTGTGTACACATTTTGTGTACCCCTACCAAAACTACTCTTAGGCTGATTGCAACTCTGAAGTGAAAATGTTATTTTTAAGGTTTTCACCCCAAAAATTGATGCAACCCATGGTATACGTGCGTGCCAAAATGGCTTGGTAGCTCCGCTCAAGTGAATACCTCAGGCCTTATTCATTGAGAAGACAAAGCAATCGTGGTTGTTGGGCATAAAGAAATAAGGGTCCCATTTAATTTATAACCCCAATTATATTTAAACTATTATAACTTTTTTATTTGAATTTCAATTTTTATAAAAGATATATGATAATTCATAACTTTTCATGATCTTTCATATGACACTAATCTTGGATATATAAAATTGAAAAAAATGATGTTTCAGTTCTTCAAGATTTGTAAATCTAATTCTTTTTAAAATAGGTCTAAAGTAACCGCTATAAAATCAAACTCTAAATTTATTTATTTTTACATTGGAATGTTTGATTTTTCAAATCATAATTACATATAACAAAAAATTGGAAAAAATATTGATGTGTAACAATAAAATTAAGGCTTTATTAAAAAAACATTGTTGCGTAAATTTATTGACGGAATTGCGTTGCAGTGAAAATTGAATTGACTGAATAAATACGTATAAATTGATGACAAATTTGATTTATTGACGGAACCGGGTTACGGTTAGCCTTACACATACCTAGTGTACGTTTTCCATTAAGTACATTGCAAACGTAATTGTTGGCATGCTCCTGGTACCTCTGTAAATCTTGTCTGTCAGTCTCGAAGAATATCTGTGTGTCAATTTAGGCATATAATTTGTTAATTAATGTCTTTTAATTATAAGTAGCTTTTTTAAAAAATATTACTAAGATAAAATTTATGGATAAATATATGATTAAATTATAGTGACTATGAGTTAAGTTTTATATTCACTAATCACTATCATGTAAAATGTATAATTATAAGCAATAAAAGTTAGAAGCTAAGGTCACATTTTTATTATTCAATATTCATATTTTGATCTTACACAGTATAAGGTATTATTTCTATTTATAACAAGCATGCATAATTGATAAGAGTAGGTCTGTATGCAGGGGCGGAACTAGCAAGGGGCTCGAAGGTACTTGAGCCCCTGCAATTGTTTTTATTTTTATTATATATGTATATCAAATATAAAATTGTAAATTGTAAATATTTATAACATGTGTAATTTTTATTATATATATATATATATCAAATATAAAATTGTAATTGTAAATATTTATAACATGTGTGTTATAAATTAATAACCACTATCTTTACGAAAAGACACTGTAGCGGAATGGAGGAGGTGATGCATCTTTTGTTCTTGGATTACAAAAGGTCTAGGCATCGAATCCTAGCTCAACTTTTTTATATTTTGCTTTACTTGTGTCTTTTTTAAGCTCTAAATTAATTTACTAGTGCACGGGTAGGAATCACAAATTTGCTATCGTAGCTTTCTCATCAAATCGGCTTATCATATTTAATTTCTTTCTTTTTGGTTTCATAAAAAATATCATTTGATTTGGTATGTAATTAAAAGTGTGATTTCTCAATTTACTTTTCAAGATATTATATCCTAGAATAAAATATATATATGTAGTATATTATGGTGGATGCAACATATTTCGGAGACTTGCGCTTTCCTATTAAGTGCCCCTCCAGAGTCCCCGAGCTGGTTCCGCCACTGTCTGTATGTGTGTATAATCCGTATGATGATTTGGTTATTTGGAAAGCTATGAAGGCGTTAGAAATTGATTTTGATTTTTACTAGATCAAGAAATTAAATTACAGTGTTTGTATGATTTTACGTTTAAAATTAGTTTTACATAAATTATCAAAATTTTGTAATTTATTGATCATGTATATATGAAGAATTGATATTAATATGACACGTGGTATGATGTAAAAAGCAGTATCCTAACTAATGTACAAGTTATCATATTAGAGTTAATATATACATAGAAGGAATAACTAACTATTTATATCACCTTTTTTTATATTATAAATGATTGGACAAGTAACTATTATGAGCAAATAGACAAATAGTTATAAATATAATTCCATAACAATTATTGTCGATTTGAACATGATTAAATATGAATGAAAACTCAAAGTAATATTTTGGGTTGTGGTCGAATATTACTCCCTCCGTCCCATGATGTACACTTTATACTTTATAATTGAACTACACGTCTACACAATGTTTTTTTCTCACCAATACAAAGAGTGCAAAGTTCATTGGGGCTGATGTAGTAATTTACTACATATAGTTGTATTTTATATACACAATTAATATTTACATACACTAATTAAAGTAAATCCCACTAACTTCTGAGGAACATATAAAAGAATTTAGAAGTACTTCTTAAACACTAATATTTGATTCTATTCCTCTAGAATCATTGTAAATAAAAAAACATATCTAAATATCCCTATGCATTATTGACGTATATGAGAGACAATGAAGTTGATCAAACCTACCTTGGATAGGATAACTTTTACCCCAGGTTTTTTGTTGTCCCAGCTGAAGGTTTGGTCGTCATTTAGATCACCTAATTGTGCAATGTAGTTTAAATAATCCTCATCCCCAGAAGCGTGATATAGCCACCCGGCCGACCACATAAGCTCGTCCTGAAGTGTGGAATTTAAATCAAATGGGCAATTTATCTATTCTCGTGTATTCTCTATATATCGCGTCATATTTTGTACGTAGTGTGTAAATATCCAGTGTCGTCATATTTGAAACATTTTTCTATATATTTGTATCTAATTGTGACGTTTTGTTGGTAAATATGGGCTCTATAGAAAAAGCATAATAACGCATAGAAATTTAATAGTTAGTGTCATTTTGAAATCATATGGAGTATTTCCGTAATAATGCATGATAACTCATATCAATATGTTTTCGGGATGATAGCAATTTACTCCTATTTTGAGATAAAAATGGAAGGAATAACAAAATTGAGGCAATAAAAAAATTTAGGACATGAGTTATATGTCCTTCTGCTAGTCAGAATAACGAGTGCACGCTGAAAGAATTTGCCACATTATGAAAATATAATATTGTCATGCTAATGTCTGGTGTCAAATGAGATGTGATAGTACAAATTGAGAATGCATAAAAAAAAGGATGATACCCCATTCCTGAGGGCCCCCCAACACCGACCGGACGGCACGATGAGAGGATGTAAATTGGACTATAATCACAATATGACAGATAGAGAGTGGGGCTCTGTCCCCGGTACTTGCAGAAACCCTATGCATTTTTCAGCATAGTAACCCCTCATCGCAGTTGCCGGGATTCGAACCCGAGACCTAACCCTTGTGACACTCCCTCGCTACCAGTTGAGCTACGCCCACCGGTAGAGAATGCATGATACTACGTAGCATATATTTGCTCATATTTCAGACAACAATTTAAAGAGTTCCCCATTTCCTGCCTCATTTCTAAATAGTTCTCCCCATCCCCGCCACATTCGCGCCCCACCCTTTTATTTACCTTAAAAATCCCACCCGGAAGCACCTCAAATGGTGCCGCCCGGATGGCACTTCCGGTACATCCGGATGTATGAGATCATTGCTATATATATATATATATATATATATATATATATATATATATATATATAAGATAAGGTTCAAGTGAGAAGAACCCTTTAGGTAAGAGGTGAGAATGAATCTCAGCTGTTGGATTCGACTATTTTGCAGTAAAAACACTTTATATTGCACTAAAATATGCAACCCACTTTGGTGGCATTTTCTGAAAAATCCGTATTACAGCCATATAGTGCAACATGAAGCTGTTTTGGTGCAATGTCGTCAAGTTTTAGTGCAATATGAAATAGTTTTAGTGCAACACTGTAAAAAATTAAATCTTACTGCAACATCAAGCTATTTTCAGTGCAAAATCGGAAATCCAATGGCTGAGATTCATTCTCATTTCTGTGTGTGTGTGTGTGTGTGTGTGTGTGTGTGTGTGTGTGTGTGTGTGTGTGTGTGTGTGTGTGTGTGTGTGTGTGTGTGTGTGTGTGTGTGTGTGTGTGTGTGTGTGTGTGTGTGTGTGTGTGTGTGTGTGTGTGTGTGTGTGTGTGTGTGTGTGTGTGTGTGTGTGTGTGTGTGTGTGTGTGTGTGTGTGTGTGTGTGTGTGTGTGTGTGTGTGTGTGTGTGTGTGTGTGTGTGTGTGTGTGTGTGTGTGTGTTTTGACGCAGTCAACTTCAAAAAATGATTTGAATGCCTTCCCTATCGAATTTTGAGCTGAAATTTGGTATGGACAAACTAGACTTGATGAGAAACATGCTCAAAAAATTTCATCAAAAAATTCCACCGGGAAGGTCGCCAAAAGGGCTCGGCCTGACATGATGACATTGTATGTTTGAGTGCATATTTATAACGGGGTCAGGTCGGGTGTAGAAATCCCCCCCTACTCTCTATATTTATTTTAGCAGGGTATAAATATATCACTCATCCCACCCCCACTTCATCCTCCCCCAGCGGATTCAACCTTCAACTAAAAAATTTAAATATAGCTCAAGTGATTGTCTACAATGTTTTAGTCAAAGTGATTGTCGAAAAGTTAATTTTGTTCTGCTGGAGTATTTTTCTCCCCTATTCTCGAAAAGTTCAATTTTTCTTTATTTTACTAACAAAATATATTTTCAATACAATTTTTCGAGAATTAAGGAGATTCAACTGTTTCAACTAAAATTTCATTGATCTCAATAGATTCACTTGATTCAACTAATTACATTGTTCTATACTAAGGGTCTCAAACAACTTCTAGAAATTAAGAAAATGAATGTAGGAACTTAATTAGGACGGAAGAAGCTGATTTCGGTTCTTACAATGTCCCCGGAAGACTTGTAAAAATCGCTGACAGCGCTAGCAATGGAGTCGCTATAAGATTTCCGATGATTCTTAGCAAACACAAACACCTGCATTTATATATATATATATATATATATATAAGAATTTAATTAATCATTTTAGTAATGAGATAATTAGCCGCATAATTAATAATCTTCCCGATGTGACAAAAAATTGAAGCTAAGATGGATGGGCTAACGTAACGTACATTTTGTGAAGTGCTGAGTAGTTTGTGGGAATAAGAAGGGTCGGATTTTTGGAAGACGATAGAAGCAGCCGCCAGTGCTGCTGCCGTCTCACCTGCAACGTCAGACCCCGGGTTTCCAGAAGAAACACTGTACACAGGTCGCAGCTGTGATGGGTCCAAGTCCTCTGGCCTCCCCCAACACGGGTGTTCCTCATGAGCGTCACCTACCTGCAGCATCATGTTTGTTCGATCACTACTTTAATTTCTATTGCATATGCTTTCCAAAATTGTATACTACGTATATGATTGAGATCTATGTAAAATTACATTAAACTAGTTAGTTACTTTAAACTACTAGTTAACCGCATATCAGTTAACCAAAATTTCGGTTAACCGCTAACGGTTAACCATAAAACTATGAAATGAAAATATAAACTTGTCAAGATTTTGGTAGTTTTTAAATTTTGAACTTACAATTTTTATTGGGGTTTTTTACGAGAATATTACTAAAATAAAACTTATTTATATAAATATGACTATTCATTACTACAACGTAGTGCTGTGGTAACTAAAGTTCAAAACTTGAACATGAATTACTGATAAGACACTGGATAACGCAGAACAATGATTGTAGTAATTTGCTATCCACAAGTAACAAGAATTGAGAGAATTAGGGTTTATTGATGATATGAAATGAACTTGAGTGGAATACAAGAAAAGGGGGGACAGTTCGAGATGCCCAGTCTCCAACAGATCAGTCAACAAGTCTAACAGCCTATCTAAAAATAGCTAACTCCTTCTATTTATAGTCATTTATCCACGCAGGGATAATAGAACTGACTTAACAGACTATTAACTACCCAACTTCCTATTTCTTCTTGTGTATACTCTGTCAAAATAATGAGCTGGCAGCTGCTCGTGTCTATCAATTACTATGATTTCATTACTACTCTAGTAATGAATCATATTTTTGTAAACCATCTTTATTTTGGTCATATTTATGTAATTATTTTTTTTTAAATGATCTCCATAACACTTCCAGAGTATAAAAACTATTTCTAGTTTTTTTTTATACCAATTTTTACCTTCGACAAAGCTTGTTCAAATTGGCTTATGTAATAAATTAAACTATTGATAGTTTGACACTTTGACTCACTCCATATGCTTATTTGTCTGCACAGAGTATTCGCTAACAATAATAGTAATTAGTATTATAACATTAATAATAATAATAATAATTATTATTATTATTATTGATAACACCGACCACCTATCCAATAAGGTAGCAAACCGGTGTTAACATAATTTCATGCAAAATTGATTCCCCTCCGATCCACTATGAGTCTTAAAAACAAATTTAATTAAGACGTAGTAAGAATTATAAGATGGTGAACAGACTGTTGAGAAAATGAATAAGCTCTGTGTTTGTACTGCCGTAGAAGCCTGAATAACTAATCTCCTTAAGAATCCTCTAACCGAACATGTTAATGGGTAAATAATAAGCAGCAATAGGAAAAGAGATATTTAAATACAGAGTAATTACGAAGCTATACATATTTACTAGAGTGAATACAATACGTACTCCGTAATATACATTCGAACAGGTCAAAGTGCCAAACAGCGAGTTAAGGTATAGTTGATTCCGTGTGAATAATATCATTCAAAATATCACTTACCGGTTAACCGGTGTTAACATAATATCAACCGTAACCGTACCATGAACCGCTTTTTCTTTACGGTTGGTTAACCGTACCGCGAGTTCAAAAAAATTCGGTACGGTTAACCGAAAAATACCTCAGTTTATCAGTTTTTTTATTCGGTTAAACGGTTATGGTTTTTTTTGCCCACCCCTACTTTAAAGGGCTTGCAATCCGAAAGGATTTGATCGAAACTCGATGTGGGCAAAGTCAAGTATGTATAACGAGGATCAACATTCTTAGTCGTACGACAGAGTGCCTTGCAGCATCCAACGACCAAGAGGTTTGAGATCGGCGAAAGAGTGGACTAAAAGATTTCCGGCCCTAGAATTTTTTGATCGGACGGTTGTGAAGAGCAAGACACTCTACCTTGTTGGATCCGAAACTTCTGCCTTGCTTTTTTGCAAGATAGGGTGCCCGGCTTTGGGGGACCATTCCATCAAAAAACCAACGGGTATAGATCTTGGAGGTTCACATCTCGAGACGCCTTCTTCCTCATCCGGCCGATCATTGCCGCACCCCTACTTTAAAGGGCTTGCAATCCAAAAGGATTTGATCGAAACTCGATGTGGGCAAAGTCAAGTATGTATAACGAGGATCAACATTCTTAGTCGTACGACAGAGTGCCTTGCAGCATCCAACGACCAAGAGGTTTGAGATCGGCGAAAGAGTGGACTAAAAGATTTCCGGCCCTAGAATTTTTTGATCGGACGGTTGTGAAGAGCAAGACACTCTACCTTGTTGGATCCGAAACTTCTGCCTTGTTTTTTGCAAGATAGGGTGCCCGGCTTTGGGGGACCATTCCATCAAAAAACCAACGGGTATAGATCTTGGAGGTTCACATCTCGAGACGCCTTCTTCCTCATCCGGCCGATCATTGCCGCATGGCAGAGGATCTCAATCCTACCTTGCTATACGAATTTTCGATCGATATAACAACTAACAAACTAGCAATTGAAATCTAATAACAACCATAGTGGAAATAAATTTTAAGAAATTTCTTAAAACATACGGAGTAGATAAAAGACATAAATAAGAGTAATTAAGATAGTATATTTTATTTTAGGACTTATTCAATTCTATTAATTAAAACTTAAAAGCACAAAACTTTGCCACTCAGAAAGAATGAAATAATGATAGATGACAACTATTTGTACACTTTATTTTGCTCCTTTTTAAGAATAAGTTTTCCATATACTATCCTCCCTCTCTTTTTAATCGCAACATGTTGAATTTTACACTATTCACATGTCCTACTTTGACTACATTTTATATTACTACCTTCGTCCCAAAAAGAGTTTCAAATTTGACTTTTATTAGTCAAACAGTCTCGTTTTGTTCACTTAATTATGATTTCAATTTTTAATTATTTTCTAATTTGGAGTTTACAACTTTGAAGAGATTTTAATGTAGTTTTTGAATATGTAAATTTTAAAGATTAAAAATTGAATTAATTATCCATAGGGAGAATTGACTTTTATTATTGGTTGACCAAAAAATGTTGACTTTGCAAAACAAAATGTTGACCAAAAAATGTTGACTTTTATTATTTTATGAATTTTTTTTTTAAATATTGTTCAATTCATCTCTTTACAAAATTTCAAAATCTATTTTTTAAATATTTTTTTACTAATAGCTAGAGATTAAGATATAATTACGGTCAAAGATGTGCATTGACAAATGTGAAATGTTGACCGTTGCAACTAAAAAAGAACGGAGGAAGTATATTATTTTGAGATTCTTAAAATATCCCTTCGCTTCTTAATTCATCGGGAGGCTTACTTGGACATATAGAACCCCGCTCCCTATGTCTACCGCGGCCTTCAACAAATAGTCCGTGCCCCATCTGATTGCCTCTTCGGCATGCTGTTTTTGATCTCCCATCGCTTCTCCAAACTCAATAACGCTCCAAGATAGAAGTGTGGTTGTGAATGCCATCGGCAGCCCAAACTTAATGTTATCCCCCGCGTCATAGTACCCTCCTGCAAGATCAAGACCAGCCTGAAAGAAAGTAACAAAACACACATTTAAGTTTGCATTATATTGCCACAATAATAGACGACCCGCCTAGGCGTGCAGCGTAGTCAAGATATATACGGTACTAATCGCAATGGAAAATTACATCTGCACACAACTTTTACACGTCCCTAGTTGCATGTGTATATAAACAGTTCGTTTAAAAAAATCAGTAATCGCCAACAATTGTTTGTTTACACAGCCTGTGTACAAAATTTGTGTATAACAAGAATTACTCAATAACAATATACGGAGTACGAAGTATATTACTCTGATGCTGTGCCCATCAAACAAGGCAGAGTCTCCCCTCCAATCGACACGCTGACCCCCGGGCAACCTCCCTGACCGCTGCCCCTCAAAGAACAAGATGGATTTCTCCAGGGCATCATAGTAATCTGCACTACTGAATCTGCCGGCAGAAGTGCCAGCTAACAAGAATGAAAACGTTATGAACGAGCATAAAGTCTGCATGGTCCAGGAATGCTGCTTCATGCTATAATTAATTAATACTGATACGGAATATACGATGGCAATTAAGCTAGCGACAATAATGTTTTAATCAAGACCAATTCATGAAATATAATTGGGATATATTGATGAAAACAGTTCTAGCTTAAATAGATGGACGATGGATTATTTGGTTAAAAAGTTGGTTGGTCGTTTTTTCTATGAGTGGGGCACTCATATCATTACTGCGCGGGTCAAAAATCTTTTCCATAATTTTACATCCATCCCAGAATCTGCTGCGTTTATTGGGGAATAACACCTTTTTTGAATTGTGATTACAAATAAAAAATAATTTCACATATATAATCAAAATAATGGTAGTGGATAAAGTGTGACCTGAATAAGTTTGTTTTTGGAAGAATTCGGCTTAGATCAATATCAAATAATTCAGAGTATGGGTCAAAAGACAAAAACAAATCTGACAACCGTTATCCCGCGAACCGGAATCAACGTCTTACAAACTGGAAAATAAACGAAAAAACAAATACCAAAACAGAACCAAACAACATACAATTAGACAGAAAATAGAATTCACTCATCTTCTTTCAAACGCTAGATGTGCTTGCACTCCACGGAGGCGGCTCAGGAGGGGGACGTGCCCGCCGTTCATCTGCCACACCATAATATTTTGTGAAAATTATTGAATATTAAATTCATAATA